CACAGTCCTGGGAGCAACTTCTTTCCCCTCCAGCTGTACTCTGCCTGGGAGGGTCATTAGTTATTAGGTGAAGGTGGCAGGCAGGCGGAGGGGGGTGCGTCAGGGGGAGAGGACTTCAGAGAATTGGAATTCAGGAGCCTGGCTGGTGGTGGCTAGCTTACACTTGTTATGTGCATCGGTCACCCGGAGGAAGCCCCGGGGCCAAGCTGGGGCTGGGAGCTGGTCTGGGAGAGGCTCCCTCGGTCTGGGAAGCCAGGTCTGAGCAGCCTGATGAAAGAAAGCTGGGCAGTCAGGGTGCCGGGGGGGACTCAGGAGGCTTCCGGACCCCGTCCAAAGTTTGTGTGGGGGCAGGGGCGGGGTGGGGAGTGTGGGATTGGGGTGGTCCGGCCCCGATGAAGTCACTGCCTTAAACAAATCTTCCCTTGGAAAGTCCAATCAGGGGCCACCTCAGAGGAGCAGGGCACATCTCTGAGTGACATTCATTTTTACCTTCAGAAAGTCTGTCTATAAGAGCACAGGCGTCTCATTCTAGGCAGCCAAGAGCGGCTTCAGGGGACAGTTGCCATTGCCCCGGCAGTCACTTTTAAAACACTGACTTTTGCTTTCTGAGCTGAGAGAGAGAGGGAGAGAGAAAAGAGTTTTGTTCTCTGTAAAGTTACTAAGCGCTCTCTGCCAAGGAATGCAACCTTGACAAAGTGCTCTCAGATACTACACTGAACTCTCACTCAATCCTTAAGAGGAAGAACTTTAATAAATAGATTCTAATCTTTGGCCCAGGACCACACTAACCTGTTGCTGAATAGAAAATACCTGTCAAAAGTGGAGGCGGAGATCTGCAGCCAGGTCGCTTTTAGTTCTGTGACACGGATCCTTTTGCATGCCTACCCGCCCATGCATGCCCGGATATGTTCATGCCATGTTACCTTCATGGGAAGGCCAGGCTAAGGAAGCATAGCTCTTGGCAAATCTATCTGAAAGGAATGCCATTGTTGTGTTTGGTAGAGCATATGGCCAGTAAAGTATGTGCAGGGGCTCCCAGCATTTCTGTTGGAAAGTTTGCCGCAGCAGTGTAAACATTCAAGGCAACACTCAGAATTTCCAATCCTGAAAACCTGTTGACTCAGATGTTCTGTTTTCAAGAAAACCTTCCAAGACCTGGGCATCCTTTTGGGGGAGCAGGCAGCCTGTTGGCTTCCTGGCTTCCACTCCCCGTTCGAGAAGCCCTGGTGTCCTGCAAGCTTCCTGGCAGGGTAGTTTAGCTCTCTCATCAGAGCAAAATTCTTTCAAAGGTCTTACTTTTTTTCCCTTAAAACTCTTTCTGGATAGAGCCGTGAAGGACTTGATGATTAGGACTTTCTTTTTTGAGGAAAATAAGTCAGGCTGGAGTTTTCAAGTTGCCACCCAATTTTCCTCAACCTTTCCTGTGGCAAGGTAGGAAAGAGAGTGTATAATGGCTTTGGGTCCTGTGCAGGGCATGGATTCCAGCAGTCCAGAGGTCTGCTCCCTGTCCTGACTAGAGGGATCCTGTGTGTTTTTATATGCCAGTTGCCACACCTGATGGCCTTAATTGCAGCTCCTCCTCAATTGCCTTTACCACATCGTATGGCTAAGTATACCGATGCCTTTGGCCACTTTTAATATACACCTGGTGCTAGCAACATGTCCTGCTTTCTCACTGAGCTGACTTGTATAGCAAACCGCTCTCTTGGCATTGGGAGGTTGTGCAGTGAAAGAATTTGATCTTTTATATATCTTTTTATTGACTTCGTCTCAGTGCCACTCTTTTTCTAAGTTATATGAAATCTTGTCATTTTTTAAAACTTTTCTTTTTAGTAAGTGTTTTTTAAATTGAGAGCGAGGAACAGAGATGGAGAGAGAGAGAAACATCAATGTGAGAGAAAAACATTGGTCCATTGCCTCCCCTAGGCACCCCACAACCTGGGTGTGTGCCCTGACCTGGAATCGAATCAGTGACCTTTTGGTGCATGGGGTGAAGCTCAACCAACTGAGCCACACCGGCCAGGGCTTAAAACTTTTCTATTAGGTGTTTAGTTAGAAAGAAATTGAGCTATTTTTTTAAGAAGGTGATCCATTTGACTCACATGTTGACTAAAGTTTAAGGTTAGTAATGGAAAACGACTCCTGGTTGAGTTTACAACTCAATTTTGGGTGAGCTGCTGGATTCTAGGCAAGGTTTATTGCACTTGCTTATTTTTCCCATCTAAGTTTCACACACCAACTTCAAGTTGTATTAGTATGATTTCACAGATTTGATGATTGCTATGTGAACAATCTATTCTCCAAAGAGAGTACCATGTCAGTATTTTGCTGCTATTTTCCTGGGAAAGAAATTTATCGTCTGACTGATTGTAGTGAATATATGAAAATGTCTTACTGCTTTCGGAATAATTCAACTTTAATAAAATTCAAAGTATGTCAAGTGTCAAGATTTTTGGAGAATTAGCAAGGGGCATTTAGTTTTCTTTCCCTTATAAACTATTTTGTACAGCATGGACTCCGGTCAATGAGTGTCATCTGCACGCATGCCTCAGATGCATCCCATAGATGCACTTCA